GAGGGCCTTTGTTCAGTCTTTTCTTTCTTTCTTTTTAAACAGGAGAAAGAAAGAATAGAAGGACTTGTCTATGATTGTCACTATATTAAAAGATAAAATTCTGCCAGTATCTTCTGTGTAACGAAGAGTGAAAAGGCTCTTAGTAATAGAAAGGGCTTGTGCTATGAGTGAACAGCTAGTTAGCTTAATCAGTGTCTTCAGCTGAGCCCTAATAAGAATCTTATCTAGTGGCTGAGCCTGTATCCTGCTATTATTTTTTAAAATACTTTTTAAGTTTAATAAGACCACAGTAGATTAGCATTGTATTGCTAACTGGAAATTTCTGTATAATTACTATGCAAGCAGTTGGTTTTTGTCGCTACAGAAAGAGTGATCTTTTCAACTTAATTTTGAGTTCTTTCCCTGAATTGTCCTGGCAAGCAAAACTGAAGAGTACAGAGTTTGGAGAGCTTGCCAAGGAGGCAAAATATGCAGCCCTGAAGCTGCTAAATCGTTAAGTGCATCAGTGCATCAGTGGTTAAGTTATTGTTAAATTTTATTTCTTTTTATTCATCATTTTTTAAGATGAGTGTGAATTAGTTACCAAGATTAAATCAATGGATTGTAACTGTGTGCAACTGAAAAGTGGCTGTTGTATCAGTTAATTGAAACATCATCAAATATAAATATAATTCTAAAGAAAAGCAACACTTTAAATCATATTGAGAGGGAATCCAGAATAAAAAGACTGCCTTTTGGTGAGGAATCTGGACTATTGCCTTGACAACCCAAGCCACTGCAATACTGTCAGTTGAAGAATACATTTATATCTTCTTACGCTGAATGGTAAAACTCCCACGCAGTTTGGCATTCTATTTCTGCACAGATCTAATCATTCAGATTTTTTTTTTTTTTTTTGGCTTAAATTAGAATCATCTGAGGACTGGTATATGCTGGTTACTGAGAGTTGAACAGTGTTTTTTTACAGTATGAGGATTGTCTAGAGAGTAGCACTCTACAGCTCTAGAACCACCTGCCTCCTACACTCTTTCCTAGAGAAGAAAAGAAAAGGTGATAGATAGGACTTACGCCTGTGTGGCTTCAGCCAAGGATTTTCCTAGCTCGGAGGAACACACTGGTATGCCAAATGGCCTTTTATTCTAAGGATGTTTGAGGCTGGATGTGAAAATCAGCCTGCTCATAGCTGCAGTTTTAACAGAATAAATATTAGCTGTTCTATTTAGGTGGTTCACTGTGCTTCTAATGCTAGCTTTTCCTGGCTGAAAGTAGTGGACCTTTAATAAATATGTTAAATAAATCCTTTTTCTTCAATGAAAAAAAGCATCAAAAATAAAAATGTGAAACTAAAGATTAATACCAAAAAACCTCTAAGTTTGTAATCCATCTGGTAGTGACTTTGTGCTCAATTTATTTTTTGAATAAAAGAGTTTTTCTCATTTTTTTCCTAAAGCTTTTGATTTGTTTTTCCAAGCTTTTCATAATGCCTAGGACAGTTTAGCTGTGTATTCTTAACAAGTTTGAAACTCTCAACTGCAGAGTAAATGGATAATCTAGGAACATTGTATTTGTGTTCCAACATTAGTTACATTGAAGCTGGCTTTCAAAATCCATCCAGAGTGAGAAATGTATTAGTTGATGACTGCTTATTAACAGTGAACTATCTCTGTTCAGAGATTATCTCTGTTGGAGCTGAAAAATATCTCATTGAACTGAAAAAATGCAGTGGTTTGAGTGAGTGACTTTTTTTATCCTCAAGCCTTCTGGTGACTTGAGTGCAACACATTAGAGCTGGGTTGATGGAAGAACTTAGGGAAGTTTAATTGCTGCATTATGCCCTATTACTGTTCCCTGGAAAAATGAAAGGCTTGGAGTTGTGATATAAAAACAAGTTATGAAAACAAGTTGGAGATGCAGTAAGAAGTTTTTCCCTCCTCCCTAAAACAAAGCTGTCTAAATGGCTCATGCTTGTTTTCTGTAGTTGTTCCAGAACTGTACAAATATGATATTGCAATTTCTACTTCTGCTTCATGCTTTCCTCTTTTTATATAGATGTAATGATTCTTTAATTAATGATAAACACAATATAGCTAAAATGAAATCTTGTAAGTTCTGCTCTTGTCTTCACTGAAGTCAGAAGGAAAACTATGCTTTTCTAGTTCATGCTTAGATCCTCAGTGTTTGTGTTAGATAAATACAAATAAAGCCCCTGAAGATCTATTCAAACACTCCTCTAATGTTATGAAAATCAGAAGAATTTAGGCATGTACTAGAATTATTAACCATAGAAATTCAAAAATCATGAGTCATACTACCATAAAAAAAAAAAAAAAAAGACAAGAGTAAAACTCAGTCATGTAAGTCTTTCTTAGAATGTGTGAGATTATCAGGATAAAGCCACCCTTTTAGGTTGTCTTTATTTTTCTTGCAGATTTTTAATGTGAGAAGTTAGTTGCTGTTTCAACTACCTCTATCTCCTTGTGATAAAAAGGCTCTTTTTGATGTTATTGCAAGATGAAATTATGTTTAATTGCCACGCTTGAGGAGTTGAGCCCACAGTGAGGATACAAAAATCCTTTGCAGTTTGGTCACAATAAAATCCTTGCTATTGATGATGATTTAAAAACTAAGTGTGCATATCATTTGTTTGCTGACCTATAATCTTAAAATCATAACCAGATGAAATATTCAAAATAGAGCTGAGCTAACAAGATAAAAATATTTGAAAAGGTCCTTGAAGCGCACTACTAAATATGGATGCAGATGGCTTTAATGAATATTTCATCTAAAGGACCTTACTAATTAAGATCGACATCTCCAGTGAAACCTAAAAAATCTCCTATTGATAGTTGCACTTTTTCAGTCTAACCCTAACTCACCTTTGCTAAATGATCTATATATGGATTGGATTCTGTATTTTCTGGAATGAATAAAAGGGTATCCATAAACGCTTAATTATTTTTACACTCATTACTCAAAATTCTGAGGGAGGTTATGGTATTCTTTGTCTGAAACATGAGCTTAATACAGAAATGGCCAGTTTCAACAAAAAACATGAACATCATAGAAATGAGTTTGAATAATTTGTGTAGGCATTTGTTTGTATTTAATTGAGTTGCCAGCTTTAGAGTAGCTGTTGTGGTTCGAGTTCCTATGTGAAGCTAATCCAAAGTGTACGGGGTACTTACATGATAATCTGAAGGGACTTGCATATGACATGGGTTTTCTTCTGAGCACCTGAAAGGGGTGAATACATCTCTCTCCATGCCTCTGCATATTTCCACTCTTTAATTAACAAGTTAATTAAATGAAATATAAACCCCATAACATTTAGTGCAGCCTGGAAAAAAAAGACCAAAAAAAAAAGGAGTGCCAAGACAATGCCAGATCTCTTTGTGCTTGTGACTCTGTAGTAATATGTTAAATTGAGCTTGCTGTTATTTTTGTTCCTGCTCTTGTTGCTGTTGTGGCTATAGCTATTTGTGCCACTGTCATCTTTAGGAGCTCCAACAGCAGAATGCTGCAGTATTGTGCTAGCTGCCTCAATAAGAGAGCAAAAAATATTTAGAAGTTTGTATAAAGTGTGTGAGAAAGATGATATTGCCACCAACAGAGCAAAGAGTACAGGCAGCCAGTTTGGGTTGCAACAGCTTGGGTTGCAATGACCAATGTAGTCTCTGTCCATCAAGGAGTTTGTAGTTTCTTTTAACCATTGGGGCATAGATGAGACTTCAGAGAACAGAGTGAAGATACTTGGCAGATACATGCAAGGAATATCTTGCAAGTGATAGAAGAGGGAATTTCCTGAGGCTGATTCTGTGTTCATTACCACTCTGTCATTGAGAAGCAGGTCTGGAAAGGAAGAAAACTGAAGCAATTATTTTAGTAGTGAAAAATGGGTTGCTTATGGATTTGTGAGCTAATTCCCCTCATAGCACCCAGTGACCCACTGTGAGACACCGATTTGGGAATTAGCTAGCTGAAATGAAATGCTTGAGAACCCAAACACACAGATAACTAACCTGGGGCTTCACAACAGCTGCAGGGGTTACCACAGTCTTGAGATGGTCTTTGTTGCAGAGCTGATCTGCATCTGGAAAGCAAAACTGCATCTATAATAATCTGTTAGGCCTTTCTTCCTGCAGAGACAGTGGTAACAGCAGGTTTTATTCCCGAAAGTTATCCTAATGGCTCCTTAATTGCTTAGGTCTACATATAATATGAAGACTAGATTATTCATTTAAGCTTGCTTTCTTTAAAGGAGATAATGAACACATTCCATTTGAATATCAAAACTAAGATACCAAATGGCACATCAGAAAACTGCGTTTAATAGCTGACATGAAGACAAAAGGAAGATTTTCCTATTTTTAAGGTGAAGATCTTGTGGTAATGAGAAACACAATAGTGTATTCTGTATTCTAAGTTCTGTTTATCTTGAACATGCTAGAAGAGGGCAGGAATTGTACGTTTTTAAATTCAGCATTCACGTGATAGTGTTATTAAATTTCCGATTAGGCCAAGGAGATAGAGACTTGCTCTGCTCTGCTTGCCCAAACATCCATCTCCAAGTTTCATGTATGTCTGAGACAGCAGCATCTCTGATAGACAAATGTCTTTTGCAGCTGCAGAGATCAACAGGGCTTGTACTCCCCCGCTAAGAGATTTTATTAAAATGCAAGGTTTCTGCTATTTCTGCTAACAACAGAATACTTAAATATAAAATGTCATGAGTATCTCTGGTGCTGTGCTGTAACTTCCACTTCTTTACTGCTAGTGTCACTGCATTTAAATTTTATAGTATCTCATATGGTTGCTTTTAAAAAGAAATAATAGTGGAATACAAGATTTGGACCACCATTCAGGCAGGGATAACCCTTTGTGTCAGCCCAAAACTTTACTACAAGCTTTTGTGATGAAGAAGTGTTTTTTTTTTTTTTTTTTTTTTTTTTTTTTTTTTTTTATTTTTTTTTCTTTTTTTTTTTTTCTTTTTTTCCCCCCAGGTATCATGACCAACAGGATGTTACTAGCAACTTTCTTGGAGCAATGTGGTTGATTTCAATAACTTTTCTATCCATTGGATACGGGGATATGGTACCTAATACATACTGTGGGAAAGGAGTCTGTTTACTCACTGGAATCATGGTGAGTGTTCCTGAATTTATTTACCAGTTCTGAAATTAGGTTTGCTGGGAATAGCCCCCAAACTCATGGCTGTTGTAAACAAAAATGTTGCAGAGTGTTTAGACTTACTCTCACCTCTCACACAATGTCTCATTCTGTATTGTGGAATGGGGGGCTTTTGTCCTCTAGAGTTAGAAGGAAGAGCTGCGTAATGAAATACAATAAAGCAAATTCCACCCTGATATAATTCGCTGCTTCAAAATCTTTATAGTGTCTTTCATTAAATGTTACGATGTCACATTTTCTTGATTATCTTTGGACATATGTGATTGCACCACTGATAGTAATGAAACTTCTGATCTGACATTTGCTTCATTTTTAAGTTACTTACAGGCACAGAACAGTGATGGTGGCAAGTGTGCTTAAGCTTTTTTGCTAGCGCATCGTTTTCTACATTATTTCTTAAAAATCTAACAACGTACAGTTCATAGGTTTCCATTGCTCTAAGTAGTTTTATGTAGTGCTATTTCCTTTATGAAATTTGGCTGACCAAAAGTGCAGCAACTGTTATTCCGTAGATATTCAGCACATATTTATTAGATGTATCTCATGTCTGATTTTCATTTTTGTGTATTGCACCTTTTGGCAAAAGGTGCAGTTTTGCACGGAGTAGGACTATAAATTGCCATGTCACAGAAACTTGTGCAAATCTATAGATTTGTTTAGAAGTAATAAAGCTCTGGATCATGCCACTTCCGTCTGTGTACAGCTCCTGTGTAAATTATCTCTGTGAGTGAGAAAAACAGAATCTTGTCATAATATAATATAATATATCTGATAGTAATAAATATATTTGTTTCTGCTTTCTTATTTATTGTTTATAAAAGTAATGCAGCTCAAATATCTGTCTTCTGTTAAACAGATATATAGAGTTTACGGCTGTGAAAAATGGTGGCAGAAAATTTCTTCTTTTTAACAGGTGTTGTGGTAAATTTGTTACTCATTAAAATAAGTATATTAGGTGCAAAGAGTAAAATGGATTAGTGCATTCCCTTATTGTTGAAGGTCTCTTTTCAAATGCTTCCTCATTTTCTTATTTTTTTAACATCTAACAAATATCAGATCCTTGACCTTTATGGAGAAGGATTTTTATTCTGTGTTGGTGGTGGCAGCACATGCATGTCTCTTTAAATACAGTTTTATTTTAGTTGGGTAACACAGGCTGAAGAGGAATGACTCGGAAGGCCATTGACTAAGCTCAAAACTGCCATCTTCTGGGGTACTTGCCGTTATTCCTCAATGTCAGAAGGCTTTTGTTGCTAAAGAGGATAAATAGTGCTGTAAGTTCATTAGGAAAAGAGAACAAGTAGTACATACTGCCGCTGGGATGTGCAGAAAGGGGACACAATTCTGTTAAAATGCATTTCTTCTTCCCAGAAACAATTTAGAAGTAAAAAGCAAGCAAGTGCTATGGGATACAGGTATCAGATCATTATCTCTTCTCATTACGATTTCTGCCTAGGCTTTTCTGAGCAAAACCAGCCAAATTCTGGGTTAATTCACACTGAATATACACTCAAAATAAATTGTTCAGCACTCTTGGCATTTTCCGCACTAAAAAAAAAAGTACAGTAACAGAAATCTTAGAAGTTTCAAATCCCCAATGAAGTACAGTAAGTATATAAGTATGGATACAAATCATCCATGGATCTTACATTGCTATCAGCTTTATGCTAATGCCATAAGCACCTGGATGAGTATAAGAGGTTTGATGGCTGTGGATAGCCTATCCAATTTTATTACAGTAAGAGCAAGGCAAAAATGAAGTCATATAGATGTTCTCTTTAGTTTTTCTTCAAGTGTTATTCTGCACAAGGGTGAATGAATCATACAGAAGGTGAAATTATAAGCCATATTTGCTTTACGAGTGTCATATTTACTTATGAGAGCACCATTTGGCTTATAGTCTGAAAACTACTTACAGCAGTTGTTGCCACTGTTTTGGAGAAAAGCTTAAAGTGCTCAAGTGCTGTTTAATGTATTGGTTAATCTGCATATATAGCTTTTCATCACTGAAACAAGATCCCTTTGAAAGTGTGGTTTATAAAATGTAAAGATGATACTTACCTTCTTTCCTTTTCTCCTCCCTCCCATTCCCCCCCACTCTGATTTAAAATTTCTGCAGGTACCTTGGAAGCACTAAGCTGAGCACTCAGAAGTGTGTGCATAGTCAGAATCATGTGATAATGAATTTGGGATAAATACCTACAGAGACAAGAAAAAGGTTACGTAGTTAGAGAATCATGTTAAAACAGTATGGAAAGTCTTGACCATTGCATTTTGCATTTTAAAGGACATCAATAAAATGACTTTGGTGAACTGTCATCTTTGACAGGAAAATTAAGGAGCAAGGGGATTAATTCAAATGTAAAAGTTCTGAAAGATATCCAATACAAAATAGTGAGTATATTAATGAAGTTTAGGCTAGAAGGTCTGTTCAAGATCAAAAACCTCACAGGTTTTAGATATGATGCTTTAAAGATAGCTACTCTTTTGAAATCTGTACAGTAACTAATTCATGTTTATTGTGGAAAACATAAGATCCTAAAAGAGCAGATTTACAAATTTCCTTTTTCAGAAGGATGATTGATACGCTAATTAAAAGGCATACCAGAAACCTGTGAAGTGAAAATAACATGTAAAGTGAAATTGTTTGTGTGGGTTTTAGGGAAAAAATGTGTGGGTTTTAGGGAAAAACTTCTGTGTTGTGACTATATTCACAGGAAAGCACAGGTGCATCCTGACTATATTCCCACCCCTGCCTCAGAAGTTGTTTTCTGTAGGGTAAAAATCGAACTGTGCAGGTAGAACCTTGCATTAGGTTCCAGCCAGGGAATTTGACTTTATGCAGTCAGCTGACAGCACCAAATTGTGCTAGATGTTAAAACTGATAGCTGTTGCTCTCTTGAGACATTGATTAAAGCTACATGTTTTAAATTCTGCAAATACATACTCTTAGAAAACAAAATAAACCTTAAATATAGTCTGATGATGCTAAAAGAAGAGAAAAGCACTGGAGTATCGTTAACACAGTAGAGAAAGAACTCTAATTAATATATAAAACTCTAATTAACATATCAGAAGAGTTTAACCAAGCAAAATAAAATTGTTTTGCCATATTGAACATCTTAATTTGTGATCTTGCAGAGCACATAAACATGTGAATCACTAATGAAGATATTAAAACATGGCAATACAGAGTTGGTAGCATGAGTGCTGCCAGATACCAGCTATACAGATACCAGCTATACAGATGCTTTTTATGGACTGGCAGGAGAAACTAAATTGGGTACCCTCATCTAAATCACCTGTGTTTTTCTTTCATGGAAGTTCACTTGGCAGCAGTAGGAGACTATGGACCAGGTAGGCCGTAAATCCAATAGTGAATGTGCCTGCTGCCCTCTCTGTACATCAGGTAGGCACTTGGGGAGTGATGGATGGATGGATGGATGGATGGATGGATGGATGGATGGATGGATGGATGGAAGTATGAGTGCCATCTTTTGTATCAGTGCAAGGAATGGAAGAAATGGGGAGATATGTCTTTACTGCACCATGTGACATATCTGATTTTGGTCTGTTCACCAAACATGCAGTGGTTGTCAGTGCACATCCCACAAGCCTCACAGCTCCTGGTCAACATGCCAAGCTCAGCTACAAGTGCATCGCTTTGCTGTGCCACTTTTAATGTCAGTGGCACTACTTACATATGGACGGTGTTTTCACCTGATGAAATTTTATAGCATCAGGACATCAGAGAGCTTTGCCAATTTTTTCTTGCTTTATGAGGAGTATGTTAGTATGAAGATAGCAAAACAGATAGTAGAAAGCTAGTAAATGATAGTAGAAGCTAGTAGAAGAAAAAAAGCATGAGAAGCTATGGGAAGATGCCTCATATTTGACTGTGGGATGGGAAGAATGAGAATAAAAAATGATGAAAAATATATAAAGAATATGGAGGATATTGAATACCTCCCTGCCTAATATGAGAACAGGGAATCTCTCTGGCTCCATTATTAGCTATTACATTTGGAATAAATAAGTAGAAATACCTATTCCTGCTACATAGAGCCATTCTATGCAATTCATGTTGCAGTTCCTAAGTAAATCTGTATTTATGGATATTTCTTACAGATCTTTATAAGCCTTTTGTTGTTATGCAAGATAAAAAAATAACAATACATTCTCATGGCTTCAAATATATGACTTTCTGCAAGGTTTGAGAACGGCTGTTTTTGTCCTGAAGATCAGTGCTAGCAGCAAGCAGTAGACTTGACAGAACTATTAGGTCAAAACTATGTTTCTATAATAAAAGGGGTGAGTTGCAAGTATTATAACTGCTCAATCACAGGCTGCACAACATGGCTGGCTAAAACTTGAATTAAAATAGTTTTAGATCAAATAAAGATCCTGTGGGATTTTGCTGTTGGCCTCGTGGCTGATACAGCAGCTAAAATGCTACTGTTGTTAAATTGAACACCTGAGGGCTGGTTATGGCTATGAAGGAAACAAACATCAAATTGCATCACTGGAGTAGGTGAAGAGGAGATAAGGCATTTCTTTTTGGAAATTTTCACGTAGCATTTTTTTACCTCCTGAATCTGAATCCCATTCATTTAGGTGAATAATTCTGTAACTGCAGAGTTAACATTGACTGCAGATCCTGGGAAGGATTACCAAATAAAAGGAAAGGAAGGTAAGCATTATACTTAGCGGAGATGTTTGAAAATTGTTTTATTTTATAGAACTTTCTGTGGTTAATGTACCATAAATTGTTTTGCATAATTGGCTAGAATATTGTGAAATTCTTTTGAAACATTTTACATTGTTTAATTCTGTAATTAGGTGCACAAACATTGAATTATTCATGAAACACAGTAAAGTATTTTGAGTCATGCTCAAAGAACTGATAAGATGCTATTAAGACTAATACACTGCCTTGTAAGTATGGTTGAACTGTA